TTTCATAGCACATTTTTCTAGATGTTATTAATAGCTGTGTCTGGGAAAGGAAGTTACAATTTCAAACAAATTCTTAAAATCCTGTATAGTAAATCTCTCACTTGGAGTTTTATAATGCACTTTAGTGTATCAAAGACTCTTAGTGGAATCCCAGCAATGAAATATGTCTAATTTTGTTTTAACTCATGATTTCACAGGCTTTTTCGTGCGTATTTATTTCTTGCATACTGATTAACCTCCTACGTAAGAATGTGCCATGGGACATCAATTTGGTAAAGGGCATATTTAAACTAACAAGGCAAAGACAAGAGGAATGCAGATATTTCTGACTTCAAAAGAGCTCAATCAGCAATAAGCGAATTTTTTAAATGCCAACATCAAAACAAACTAATCAAAAAGCACCCAGCAAATCTCTTACAGACGCTTAAGCAGTATGTTTTAGCTTGAGGTCCTAGTGTTGACCTATACCTGATAAAACTCTTCCTTTAACTTGACAAGAATTATGCTTTCCTTCTTTCAGCACCGAAATGAAAGGCAGACATCCCCGATTTATTCACTTCTCACTGGGAAAGCTATAGGAGTGTCTGGCCTTATAAAAATACAAACAAAAGAAATGCATCTCTCTCATCCTTGCTGGGCGTTGAGCCCATCATTCTTGCTGCCGAGTGAGTGGCCTGAGGAGAACCAACAAAAATACCAAAATTAAGTGACTTTTGTTTATATTCTCTTCTTTCTGCTCTGTTGGTGCAGCAGGTACTCATCTGCCCGACGCACCGCAGGCCTGGTGAGGTAGCCCTGCTCAGCTCAGAACGGCACGGGGAGAACAGGGCACTGCCAATCTCAGCAGACACCCTGCACAAAAAACAATGGCTTTTCCTGCAAAAATATTTCTTCTTTCTTATTAGGCATTACTCCTTGCTGTACTTGTAACAGACCTAGTCAGTAACAGTTATGGGTGAGCTTTTTGAGAGTCAGATTCCTCCCAATTTGCAAAGGAGGAACATTGGCATTTTCTTTCTCTCTTTGAGCTATAATTGGCATTTATCCAACAAACATTTATTCATTAAGTGCTTCTCATGGACCAGGCACTATACCAAGTGCTAAGGTTACCAAGACTAGCAGCATAGTCCTTGAGAATCGGACAGTATAAATTAGAGGTAGAAGATAAAACACTTTCTGAATAACCTCAAGAGTACCACAAGCATTGCCTGAAGTACAACGATGAAGACCAGGAGCCTGACTTTAGAGTAAACAGGCTCTCTGAGATTGGGAGTGTGAACCCCAGACAACAGGCGCTCTATGCTCCATCCTGCTGGAGTCTTTGTCTTATTCTCTATGGTACCCTGAGCCCAGATTAGGGCCTCTCAACAAACACCTATTGGCTACTGAGTGATCAAGGGGCTGGAACCATCTAGAATAGTAATTTAGCAATGTGTGAATCTTTTTAAATTCCCAGCACTAGCTTATCTAGCTTTTCCTTGGCAACGTTCCCTTCCAGAGTGACCCGTTCCGTCTTTGACCAGTTATGTTAAGCAATCCTTCCTCACACGGTGCAGAAACACAACCCCCTCAACTTCCACCCACGGATGCACACGCTGCCCTCTGGGACTCGATGGAACACAGAATAGTTGCTTCCACTGCTACTTTTTATTTTGCAAATTTCAAGTCTATAGGAAAGTTGAGGGAGCAGCACAATTAACACCCATATGCTTTTCATCTATTCACCAATTCTTAATATTTTCCCATATTTGCAGTTTTACCTCTTGCTTTTTTTTTTCTCATAAATCATTTGAGAGTTATTTTGCAAACATAAGACTGTATCACCTCTATTGCTTTTGTGGATATCTCTTAAGAATAAGAACGTTCTCCCACATAACAGCATTTCTATTATATACCTAAGAAAAGTTTTATTAATAAAATATTATCTAAAATAAAACTAACTCATATTTAAATTTTCTTAATTATCCCCAAAGTGCTTTTTTTCAAAATCTGGGTTTTAAAATTCCAGATTAAAGAAAAATTCAGTCTCTTTTAATCTAGAATTTTTCTTCAAGCCTTTTTGTATTTTTATGACATTATCTGTGATATCTATGTGTATTGCTAATGTATTATATGGAGGCACATACTGTCAGGATGTCTCACTACTGATGATATATAACTTGACCACCTGATTAAGAATGAGATCACCAGATCTATTCACTGAAGTTACATTTCCCCCTTTGTGATTAAAAATAATTTTAAGGCAGTGTGAATATTTGTCCCTCCAAAAACTTTTTGCCCAACTTTTAGTAGCCACTTGATGATCCTTGCCTGAATCAACTATGATACTAAGAATTATAAAATGATGATTTTCTAGGGGCGCCTGGGTGGCTCAGTCGTTAAGCGTCTGCCTTCGGCTCAGGTCATGATCCCAGGGTCCTGGGATCGAGCCCTGCATCGGGCTCCCTGCTTGGCAGGGAGCCTGCTTCTCCGTCTCCCACTCCCCCTGCTTGTGATCCCTCTGTTGCTGTCTCTCTCTCTGTCAAATAAATAAATAAAATCTTCAAAAAAAAAAAAAGATGATTTTCTAATTCTATGAGCTCTTCTGCATGGATTTTTAAAAATCCAATGTGTTAGAATCCATTATCATTAAAAAAATTTTTTGATACTCAAATTGTCCCAAATTTGGCCAGCAGGAGGTTCTTGAAACTGCATCCTAGGCCTTTTTGATATGACCCATTAGTTGAGCATCTCCCTTCTTTCTGTCACACCATGAGTCCAGGCTCACCTGTACTCTCCCCTCCCCAGACCTGGAATTAGCCATTCCTCCAAGGATCCCTTGTTCCTGGTGGTGAAGATTAGCCTTTAGGAGGAACAAGTGCTCAAAGCCAGTTACTTCTTCTGTCCCATATACCTCCCCAAACTTCCACACTGAGGCTAAATTCACCAAACTCCTTATACAAGTCTTCCTGTGACTTAACTCTGATTTCCATCCTACTCTTCTCTTTCATATTCCCTGTCTCAACTCAGTTGCTGTCTTCTATTCCAGTGGTTCCCAACGTGGTACATCAGAACCACTGAGGGACTTCTTTACTATACCGATTCTCTGGGGTGGAGCATGGGACTCTGTTTTTGGTTTGTAAGTTATTCAAGTGGTATCAATATAGCCAGTCCACTTCAATTTTTCAAGGCCTTGTGGATCCAAAATTGGATACAATATCAAAAAGTATGGTCCAGAGCTATTACTTTTCTTTTACTGGACATTCTATTTCTTTTAGTATAAGTAAACTGATGCTGCCATTTTTTGGGGAGGTGGAGGCAATGACATAAAATTTCTGACTTATGACAAATTTACAAAGAACTAAATCCTCAAGACTTTTTCAAACATACTGTTAAGTTACAACTCCCTTATCTCCTTATGTTCCATTGGTCTTTCAGACCTAAGTGTAAGGATTTCTGTTTGTTCGAATTTAAACTTATACTGCTTGATTTATCAAACCTTCAGGGTCTTATTGTCCTGATTTTTTTTTTTAAGATTTTATTTATTTATTTGAGAGAGAGAGAGAATGAGAGAGAGCACATGAGAGGGGGGAGGGTCAGAGGGAGAAGCAGACTCCCTGCCGAGCAGGGAGCCCGATGCGGGACTCGATCCAGGGACTCCAGGATCATGACCTGAGCCGAAGGCAGTCACCCAACCAACTGAGCCACCCAGGCGCCCTTATTGTCCTGATTTTATCATACAAAATGTTCTTTTTTTACCATTCCAACTTTATGTCATTCACAGTTAAAGTCTTCTCTCTTACACTGCCTTTCTTCTATTATTATTTTTAAGTATTAAAAAAAATCAGTCTTACAGACTTTTCTATGACTGTGGTGGTGGTTACATAACTGTATGTATTCGTCAACACTCATAGAAACATATACCAAGAAGAGTGAATTTTAATGTCTGTGAATTATACCTGAAAAAAAAAATCAGCCTTATATTCCAAATATTCCACTGTACTTTTCTCCCAGATTAGGCCTTACTGACCTATTTTGATTGACAATCTCTGCAAAATGGAGGACCAACTAATGGAGTTTTCATAGACTTTGTATTTTTTTTTTTCATTCGAGGTCAATGTATTCTGGGTTTGATACCCTGAAAAACCATCAAGGTTTGGTTTACCAGGACGGTCAACCCAGTGAATGCATTATTACCACTTTATCAGTCCCCACAACACAAAATGTAAAGTAAAAGTGATGGACTGTGAAATAATGTGAAAATAATATTAAAGGAATCATAATCCTGCACAGAAGTAGGCTTAAAAAAAAAAAAATCGAACACAGGCTATCACTCTTGCATAGGAGTAGAAGTTAGATCATTTTCCACCTGTAAGTTTGACAAGGATTTTAAAAAATACTCTTCGGTGCTGGTGAAGGTCTTGTGAAATACATGCTTGGACAATGTGAGTGAGGGGCTTAAGTGGGACAGCCTTCCCGGCCTTTGAATCTGTCTAACAAGAACTTAAAGAATTCGACTCGAATACATATATACTGAGGAAAACTAGAATCACACCAAACTTTTAGCAGTAACCAGCCATCTCTAGCTAATGGAAGACAGGCTGTTTTGCTTTGGTTTTTAATGCTTTACATTAAAGAAAAGATATTGAAAATATTTCTATAGTGAGCCCATTAAGTTTTATAGTTAGGAAAAAAGAAATACATTTATAAAAATTTTGGTCAAAGAAAGGGGAAGAAAATAAATCACCAAAGGAAAGAAATAGGGATTTTTTTGGGGGGGGAGGGTAAAGATTCAGCTGTCACTGATAGGAATTCTCAAGAAAAACACGTCTTTCAGGTAGTCAATAATTTCATAAAGAATTTTTCTTCCAAAAATGAACAATATTTCCCTTGTGAAGCTTTTCTGAATGCCACAGAAGATTCAAATATATAGCAACTCTATAAGGGATACTTGCACTGCCTCCAAATATTTTCCAAATGAGAAGTGTTATACAGAATTATTAAAAACCATAAACTCATACCTGGAAGAACGATGCTCTGGTTTATTTCGTTCGTTGCGATCTATAAAGAAAGAAAACAGTTACATGTCAAAATACTCTTCAGAAGCCCTGGGAAAGAAGTTCTTAAATACCCGCTGCCATACCATAGATTTCACAAAGGACTGTTTAAGGTTGCTGTGTCTTCCCCTGTACAAGGCTCTTCATCAGAGTGGAAAGGATTTGTCTGACAGAAGATGTACAAAGGATACAAAGATAGGCATGGAGAGTTTTTACGGTTTGTTAAAATTATCTACTTGGAGAGTATATCATTATATATATTATTTCATTTCCAAAGATCTTTGCTGTTTCAAACACTTTGCTAAAACCCAAACAAATTTAGCTGAGGAAAGAAAGTAAGGAAACTGAAAAGCCACAGATTACTCAGCTTAAAAAAATCATTCCATGAATCATGGTTGGCAAAAGCTTCCAACAGGAGAGGGAGGGGGAAAAAATGAGCAGTCAGCTACAGCAACATCTGCAAACACCCTAAGACCCGGACAGCCTCATCCTTAACTCTCTATTGCCCAGAACTTTTCAGAAGTTGGATTTCAACGTTTCACTGATAATTAGGTCTAATGTGCTATTACATAGAAGGCGGTGGTTCTTGACAAGGAGTGCCCCCTTCCCCAGGGGACACCTGACAATGCCTGGAGACATCTGTGGTTGTCACGGGTGGGGAAGAAGGAGCTACGGGTATCTAGTAGGTAGAGAGGTCAGTGATGCTGTTAAACGTCCTACCATGCAGCCTACAACAAAGACTTATGTCACCCGAAACATCAATACTGCTGACGCTGAGAAACTTGGCCACAGGGTAAGCGACAAGGGCACGGCTGCTCGAAGTTTTCACACGTGCCTCTTTGGAGGCTGCTGTAAAAGGCTGTTAATCAACCTGAAGACTATACGAAAGAAAGAACTACAAAATCCACAGGATGTCTTTTTTGTTTTGACTCCAAATAATTTTTTTCAGTACATGCTTAAGAATAAACAAAGTAAAAAGGTCTCAGTGTTACGGAAAAACTAACAACAGAGAGCAATGTGTAAGCCATAATAAAATCCTATGCAATGACTTTTTAAAAAATCCTATGCAATGTTATTAAAATACAGTTTCCTAAAGTATCTTCTGAATACTAACAATATAGAACTTAATGGCAAAACAAAGATCAAACAGGAATTCTTTTTTTCCCCTTGATTTTATTGCTTGTAGAACAGCATAAAGATACTAAAAACATACTATAAAACTTCCGGGGAGAATTATCAAAGAAAGGGCATAGGATTTACACAGCTAAATTGTATTTATCAATTTTTCTGAATAGGTTCATAATGGAAAAAAAAAAGTTTTTTGAAACCTAGGAGTTAGTACACAGGAAGTATGTTTTCTTAAAGACTAACAAGCAGGAAGATTCACAATAAACCATGTTTGTTTAGATATAGTGCTGCTCTCCAAAGTGCACAATGTTAATATGCTTCTGGTTCCAGCTTCTCTACACAGTGACCTAGTATTACTGCCGCTTTATATTATTTTAAGATTTTATTTATTTATTTGACACAGAGAGACAGAGCGAGAGAGGGAACACAAGCAGGGGGAGTGGGAGAGGGAGAAGCAGGCTTCCTGCCGAGCAGGGAGCCCGATGCGGGGCTCGACCCCAGGACCCTGGGATCGTGACCTGAGCCGAAGGCAGACGCTTAATGACTGAGCCACCCAGGCGCCCCATTCCTGCCATTTTAAAAACTTTTGTTTTAATTTAACTTCGTTTCACACTCTCTCAAATAAAAACATCATGGTTTTTCACTTATGGAGCACAAAAAATTTAAAGTCATAGCAAGACAGCGCACATTTTACTCATTTTTTTCAATCATTCCTCTTCAGCTTTAGCCTGCTAGTTTTGCTAACAACAGGAAAATATCTCAAAGCAAAGCTGGAAACTGGATGCAGATCAGCTATGCTCATATAGCAAAGCAACAACTCTTACCTGTGGCTAAAGATGAGCTAAAAATCTGCCCAGGATACCATTTGATGTGGCTGTGATCCTAGTTTCGTAGAGTTTATTTAGGCATGTAATAGCAAATTCCCCCACAAATCTCCCTAGTGGTACAACACACAGGAGGAGGGGAGAAACAGAGTCACAATGCGTGTAAACAAGACTCAGCATCTGAGGGCTTCCCTCCAGGGCCTGTTCTGATTGGCAGATGTGCTATGACCAATCTGCACAGCTGGAATGTGTCCACTCAGGAAGTGAATGGCTTGTAGCCCTCCTTCATTCTTGGTTAAAACAGGAAATAGTACAGTCATTTTATACTTTGTACTCTAAGAAGATATAAATGCCTCCCCACAGTATTTCTCTATTTAACTAGTTGATAATCTGTTGGAAGACATTTTAAACATTCCCTCCCAAATTCCCTCAGTGTTATATGTGTTACATTCCTATGCAAATATACATACACAGTGATTATAACGTTATAACACTCCTAAGACCCATATATTTGATAATTTGAGGGTAAGGGTAAATTATCCATTACTCCCAATATCCCCCATTCTCCAGCTCTTGACAGTGGAAAACAAATTAAAACACATGTTCTTGTCTTACTATTTTTTCTCAAAGTGTAAAAACAATCGGATTTCACATTTTGCCATAAGCCATCTTTTAGCTTGAATAGATATAGATGTAGTATGTGTATGTATGTCTACACAAATTTTTATATACTTATTTTTTTTTTAAGATTTTATTTATTTATTTGACAGAGAGAGACACAGCGAGAGAGGGAACACAAGCAGGGGGAGTGGGAGACGGAGAAGCAGGCTTCCCGCTGAGCAGAGAGCCCGAGGCGGAGCTCGATCCTAGGACCCCGGGATCATGACCTGAGCGGAAGGCAGACGCTTAATGACTGCACCACCCAGGCGCCCCTTTACTTATTTTAAGCAAAGTAATTTTCATGACAGCCAAGACGATTGTGCAATTGTCAAGAAACAACACTAGTGGCAATGCTGAATTTTTGGCAAATTAATAAATGGTTATTATTTTGGTCCAAAATCCAAGACTGAACAAAACAAAGCACTGAGGGCAGATTTGGGATCTGGATCTTGCCAACAATAATAAAACATTTGGATAGAACTCCCTTAAGAAAAGGAGAACAGATCCATAGCAAATATGGAAATTTTATCTTGACTATACCTAGTGCTTTAAGCATATGGATTTTATTTATTTCAGATCAAATATTCTTTGGCATATATCCCCCCCAAATTTTTTCAGTTTCTAATTTTTAAATAATTAGGAGACAATAGACTTGCAAAGACTTCCTGAACTTTTACATACTTAGGAATCATACAATTAACTTACTAGACCAAAGTCTCACCATTTATATGATAAAAAAAGAATTATTAAAAATAAGAATGCTCTAGGGGCGCCTGGGTGGCTCAGTCGTGAAGCGTCTGCCTTCAGCTCAGGTCATGATCCCAGGGTCCTGGGATCGAGCCCCACATCAGGCTCCCTGCTCCATGGGGAGCCTGCTTCTCCCTCTCCCACTCCCCCTGCTTGTGTTCCCTCTCACTGTGTCTCTCTCTGTCAAATAAATAAATCTTTAAAAAAAAAAAATAAGAACGCTCTAACTCTAACATTTAATTGCCAAATAGTACACTATCCACAGCAAATGTGCAGCAACTCCAGGGGCCCACCATGCAGTGCATGATGATTAAGTCACTCAAAGATCAGCAGTACACTCTCAATGTGAAGGTCAGCATGGCTGGATAGCTATATAAAAGTCTGTTGGTTTTGTAGGTATATGTCACACACACACACACACACACACAGTGGGGCAGGCGAGAGAAAAAGAAAATATGCTTGCATTCCCTGTTCCTACTCATCCATGTCTCCTGGTTAATAAAGCTAATTGAAGAAATGGAAGATTACCCCACAAACAGAACAAAAGCAGAACATGAGGCAGAAATGGTGTAAAAGGTGCTGTTGGCTATGTTGAGTGTAAATGTTATTGGGAGATGTAAAGGAGGCAATAGGGGAACCCAGGGTACATCAAAGGGACAGAGGTCAGGAGAGTGAGAGGAAGCTATCAGGGGTTGATGACTCTGTAGGAGAACTCCATTTTACCCCAAATTTCCTGCTATGATGACTTCTGATTCTAAGTAATCTGGACATACATGAATCCAATGTTTATGTATTTAGGTGATATTCCACTTAGGTAGAAATGGGCCCCTGTTCTGGCAGGGACAGCTTTTCGGGAATGGCTAGGCAGGGTCTACTGATGTGTAACCATTCAGGGTGACTCTGAATCTAATAATACGACAAACACTTTGAAATGAAGATGACAAAAATGCAAATGCCATCCTTTGCTTTGATTAAAACTATGAAGAATGGCCAACTTAGAAATTATTAGAATCCATGGTAAGACATTCAGGCTTTGAGGATTTGGCTTTGATCACTTACCTGGACAGAAAATCAAACCCCATTGGATAGGGAACTTAGACTACTAACTCAAGTCGGCAGTGAAAAGTCCTAAATCGTTCTTTGAAATTAGTGGGAAGACTCAAGTCTACATGAATGAATACACACAGACACACTCACAATAGAGTAGGAAGCGGTCTGATGGAATCTGCCTTGTACCTCATACTGGAGTATTAAAATGAGTATTATCTTCAAAATTAATATTATCTATGAGGGGCTTCTGTACCATACTCCCAAGCATTATTGTTCCAGCTTGGGAGTATATAGTACATACAGTATATGTTACTTTGGGAGTATATAGTATATGTTACTTTTAAAAAATGGATCAATCCTACATAAATGTTGTGTGCCATTCAGTATTTTTTTTTTAAAGATTTTATTTATTTGACAGAGAGAGAGACAGACAGAGCGAGAGAGGGAACACAAGCAGGGGGAGTGGGAGAGGGAGAAGCAGGCTTCCCGCTGAGCAGGGAGCCTGACGCAGGGCTTGATCCTAGGACCCTGGGATCATGACCTGAGCCAAAGGCAGATGCTTAACGACTGAGCCACCCAGTGGCCCCCATTCAGT